GGGGGGGGGGGGGGGGGGGGATGTACTCATAGCCGTGCATGCCATAGTCGTTAGGCAATTGACCTCGACTTCTGCGAGGGGGTATTAGGTCGACTCATCTTTTCAACCGATCCCCTTCCCCCCTTCGTGCCCCCTACGGACAAGCCAAAGGTGGCTCACAGGAGGAGCAGCCATGCTCGGTTCCGAAAGGAACGCGTGGTCGAAGGCAAAAAGGACTTAAGGCAAGCACTATCGCATGATGAGGAGCTCGTCCCCTCCCAGCAACATGCACGGATACCCACGCTAATTCTAATGCAGCTTGTTTTGTTCCCTCTCTCTGTTTCTTCGCCACATCTGCTCGTCCGAAATGCTCCTCTTGTTAGCAAAAAAGGGACAAAACGCCCGCACAGCAACCACGACAATGTATACTACCACCACACCACGATGACTCCAAACAACTCTCCCCCCACCTTCTTTTCTCGTTAGCGAGAAAAAGAACCACAAAAATCAAACAAGAGCGACATGACACAGCGACGAAACCTACATCGACGACGCCAAACACAAACTCTGATTCACGACTCACTTGCTCGTCGGGTAGACTGATTTCGTTCACTGGGGACTGAGCCAGCTGAAGCCCGAACTCTTTCACCTCTCTACTCCGGCAAAAGAGACACAAACAAAAACAGACAAGAAGAAGCGTTTGTGTGCAGAGGCAGAGGCAGCAGCAGCAGCAATAACAAACAGCGGCAGCAGCAGCAACAGCAGCAGCAACAGCAACAACAACAGCAGCAGTAGCGGGTGGCGATGACGTCAAAGACAAAACGGCGCGGCTGCGTACGGGGAGACTCATCTGTTTCTCCCCACAGATAGCACTTCGACAAAATACGACTCATACCTTCGGAGACAAATCACCGCCACCGTCCATCCTTGCTCCTATTTACTGCCAGCGTAACACACACGCGGGCGCTCTCTCTTAATGACGTCTCCCGTGCTTTGGACAACGAGCGGTTATCGTTTTTCGAATTCTAGGGGTCTGTGCTAGTTCGAGCGTGCTCCCTCGTGCCGCCTGCTTGCAAACCGGCAACTTATGCTACACATGGAAAACTAATAAAACCTTCCACCGAACCTGGGAAATGTGGCGGAAAAGAGCAGGGTCTGGTGTTGTCCCGGCGGCAGGTATCGGTTCTTGATCTGGATGCACTTGTTGCGGTGCTGGGTAGAGTCTCCAGAGTCCTGCAACGGGGGGGGGGTACGCAGACAGGAGCGTCGGGCAAGAGAGACCAAGGACATGACGAGGGCACACATTGCACAACTCAAGACGGGTGAGAATCCTAGTATCAGAAAATATGCACACAAATCACAGAAAATACTACATACCCGTTACAGTCGTAGGCCCTCCATAAGGCAGGTATGCGCCAGACCGATTGACCAGCACTATAGCGGGCACCCGCCCTATTCAATGTATTAACTGTCTTGAGTATTAATATTCCATCTCTGCCAGCCAACTTCACCCGGCCCTGTAGCGGGCACCCGCCTTGTAGAGGGCCTACGACTGTAGAGGTAAAACCCACAGCCATCCAAAGTGTTGCGTTAAGTCCTTCCAGCGAAGTGGAAGAACACTCTCGTCGTCATCGTGCCCGACCGACCGAACATGATCAACAGCACTCACTGCTGGGTCCGTTGCTATGCCGACCATGCCAAAACGCTTCTTGCGAAAGCGGGACGCACTCGACGAATGAATGGACGCCAAATCGCGGGTGACGCCGCGGCTACACATTCATCACCAAAAAAAAAAGTGAAAACAACGAAAATCTTGTACAAGTAGGGCCTGTTTCCCACAGGGAAGATATCGCTGTATGCTGCTTGGGGGAATCGTAGACATACAGCTGGAGTTCCGCCAACCCTATGAATTCGCTGCTTGTTTATCCTAGACCCTTATCTACAGAAAGAGGTGGATTGTTTTGTGTCATATGTTGTAAGAAAAAAAAAAAATCCAGTAGCCCCCTATCCCGCTTCAAGTGTGTATGCAGTGTTGGCCTCGCAGAGAGCCAAACATGTATTGCATTGTATTGCGCCCCCGCGCGTGTGTTTTTGACCCAGCGAATCAGTCTCCTGCCCCGCCGAACAACGTTTGTACAACCCTCACAACACAACATAATAAGACCATGCCTCGACTGAAAAAAAAAAAAAAAAAGCGACGAAACGGCAATCCAAAAACAGCAGTATTGAGTGCATCCGCCCCCGCCTCATTAGTAGCCTGGGCAGGCGAGAACCTGGCGTATCGCTCCGTCCCCGCATGCGAGTAGGTCCATGGTCTAGCGACTACGGCACGCGTCACATGGCTACACCTGTGGGAACGATGCTCCGTCCTCTCGAGGACGCCTGGTCAATGGCCATCATTGTTGGCCCTGTGGGAACAATGCTCCATCCTCTCGAGGACGCCTGGTCATTGGTGTAACAAACTAAGCCATGCATTTCCGATACCTCCCCCTTCCCCCCCCCCTCACATTTTCCGTACAACGTGAGAACCCCCCCCCCCACCATCATCCTTGATCCCGGCTAAGCTCACCTCGAGCATAGCGTCCGCCTCATCCAGAACGAAAGTCGCGCAGTGCGTGAGCAGCAGCCTGCGCTTGTCGAGAGCAGCCACCACGGACCCGGGGGTGCCGACCACCACGTGGGCACGGATCCCCTCGCGGGGCGGGTGGGTCCCCTTGAGGGCCGAAAACACCTGCCGCCGCCGCCGCCGTTATCACCGCCGTTATCACCGCCGTTTTCACCGCCGCCAACGTTATCAAAACCACGGCCGCCAACGTTATCATAACCACCGCCGCCACCGTTATTATAACCACCGCCGCCACCGTTATCATAACCACCGCCGCCACCGTTATCATAACCGCCGCCGCCACCGTTATCATAACCACCGCCGAAGCCGCCATGATCACCACCGCCGCCGCCGCCGCCGATATCAAAACCACGCCGCCGTTGGCACCGCCGCCGCCGCCACCGTCATCACAACCACCGCCGCCACCACCGCCGTCAAAGGGGAGGAGAAAACAAAACAAAAACGTGTGAAGGTTTCGTCGTTTGAGGAGACAGACGTGCCTCTCTTCCCCGTCCGTCATAAAAAAAAAGACAAAAAAAGAAGAGCGTTTTGCATTGTACCCGTCATAAAAAAAAAGAAAAAAAAAGAAGAGCGTTTTGCATTGTACATTGTACATTGTACAACTCACTTCGAGGGGAGGTTCCATGAACTTGGCCATCGGCAACAGCGTCTCCTGCACGCACTGCACCGCCAGCTCTCTCGTCGGCGTCACGACCAGCATCTGTTCTCGCAAAACAAGACACAAAAGCGGGAGAGTGGTGAGAATATGTGTATGTTTTTTTGTTATTAGCATCGACCGCGCTATCCGGCTGACCAATGAAAAGACGTCAGTCTCAGTGCTGTTGAAAACACAAAACGCTGTTAAAATGTCATTAACTGGGACCCCGTGAGGGGGCGGCACGGGGCAGGCTAAGCTACCTCCGGTGTGTGTGTGTGTGCCTTTCATTGTTAGTATCGACCGCGACAACCGGCTGGCCAGCGAGAAGACATCAGTCTTGTGGCGGGACAAAATCACGAACACTTCCTACTCAAAGTGTTCGTGTGTCGGGGTTACTCATTTGGCGCTCGCCGCAGCAATCAATTCACTGTTGGCCAACAACATCAACAGAAAGCCGGTGGCATCAAGCCTCTCGCACGGAATGGTTGTTTCGGCCTTTCACGTCGATCCAAGGGATCACGCGTGCGCAGCATGCCACAGAGAATAAACAATTATTGAGGAAAGCACCGGGGGCAGAGAGGGGGGGTGCTGAGGAAAGGCGGTGCTGACGTGTACGGCCCAAGTTTCGGCCAACTTGCGTGTGGTGTCGTGTTATCTTAGGGCTGTTTGATGCACAGCGATTTTGCTTCCAAATTTCCACGCAAATTTCCGAATCCGTAGACCGTTGAACCCCGACTTGGGGCTGAGGAAATAATTTGGATTGGAAAATTTGGAAAACCACTGGCGCCGAAAATTTTGGAACGAGTTTGTTCCAGAAATCTGGAAAGTCGGAAGCAAACAATCGCTGTTGATAAAGCCGCCCTTCGGTCAAAATTTAAAGCCCTCTCGGTCACCTGTGGCATGGCGAGACGGGTGTCGACGTTGCACAGCCCCGCCAGGCAAAACGCCGCCGTTTTCCCGCTCCCGCTCTGTGCCTGCGCCAATAGGTTCTCCGGTGGCCGCCGCAAGCACATCGGTAGCGCCATCTCCTGGATCGCTGACGGCTTCTCGAACCTAGATTAATTGGTCAGAAGGGGAGGAGGGGGGGTACTCAGATTTTGCATGGCGTCGTTGTTAGGACCATTGATAGAATCTATCCTTAGCGTCGACAGGGGTAACCCGCCGGTCACTGGAAATGAGCCAGTCTCAGTGCGGCCCAAATGGAAAACATTTTCTAAATAGTGAAAGTGTGTGTGTTCTTCCCATTGCATTCCGGCGCCAGTCTACACACTCCTCTGGGTGAAAATTTCGGACGTGCGTATCACCCGGGGTCCCACAACAAAGACTCACACTTACCCTAGAGATTGCACGCCCTTGAGGAGGGCCGGCGGCAGCCCCATCTCCTGGAAGGTCTTGGCACTGCTGAGGTGAGAGTTGGGGTTGGACTGCAAAACGCCACGGTGCGGGCGGTACAGTACAGCAAGCGCAGGTGTGTCAGTTGTTAAAAAACAAAACGACGTTGAGCAAATAAGGCACCAGGCGTTCGCACGAAAAATGAAAACGCCGTTGAGAAAAGGAGGCGCAATAAGAGTAAATGCTCACACGAAAAACGGGAAGAACGTTGGGAAAAAAGAAACAACCCCGAGGGTCCTGCACGAATAAACTCGAAGCGTCCCACCGCTTCACTTATGACCGCATCATTTAATTCGCACGCATTTTCTCCTTGCCCCCGAAAAAACCTTGGAAAGTATTACACACCACCCCAATGTTTGGGGTACCCCCCCCCCCCCCCCCCCCGCGCCCGATACTTAAGTAACGAGGACTCGGGGTAAATAATACGGCGGGGCCCCGGAAGGGCCTAAATGCTGTGTCACTCGTTCACCTCGTTAGTCGCGACCACTTTTCTTCGCCCCTATGATTTGAATCTACCACTAACCTGCGACACTCCGATGATGAGCATCTTTAACCTGTACGACCTTTTGCGGCGTTGCAACACTCCAATGATATGCATACCTTCCACCATGCCAATCTGTACGATAATTTGAGGCGCACACCACCGATATGTTTACAAGCATCATGCTACCCTGCGCGACCTACTTAGCCACTTTTCAACATTCCTATGATACGCATACTATGTACCATATTAATAAAAGTAAACATAGCCTCACAGAAAGACTACCCGTTCGAGATATGATACAACCTCAGGCGAAAGGGATGTGACGAAGTCTTTTCAGTAACTGGATTGAAACCGACTGGAAACTGGGCTTATTTTGAGTTTGCGTAAGCCTATACACTGAGCTATGACAATATACTACCATATATTGCTGACCTGTACGATCTTGAGGCGGCGCTTGGCCTGCTCCTCGTTCTCCTTCCCAAGGAACAGACGCGCCATCCGGTCTGTCTCCGCATCGATGGCCGTCACCCGCTTCCCGACCTTGGCGCTGTCGTTGTCGTTGTCCTGCGTGCGTGCATCGCCGTCGTCAACGCCAGTTGTGGGTTTAGCTCTCGATGTTGTTGCTACAGTTGTTAGTGTCGTCGTCTGTGCTGGTTGCGGGTACACTTTTCGATGCTGCCGTAGTTGTTATTGTCGTCGTAATCACTAACGTTACGGGTGCTGCTGTCGGCTTCGTTGTTGCTGTTGGCAACATCGTTGTAATTGTGATCGTCATTAATTTTATCTACGGTCGATGGTGGTGGTTGCAGATAAATCATGCTGCTTTTCATTGTCGTCGTTGTCCTGGTTGGTGCTCCTGATGATGTCCAAGTACCGTGCCCGTACCGGGCAACAGTTCTAGTCACGGTCCTTGACAAACAAGCCCTTTGGATGCCGCAGGCGGATTCTTGCGCATCCCACTCTCCGGAACAGTTTTCCGACCTCTTGCGCTTTTAACTCATTGTCGAACAAGATAAGCATACACTCAGATGTTTCTGGGGCCATGCCCTGTTTCCCCCTCCCAAAGGCGTGGTAAAGACCGAGAGAGTAAACATCGGGCGCTCCGGCGATCATGACCGGGGGACGGGATCAGGGTACGAGTGCCGGCCGTGGGTCGGCAGGGGGCACATCTTATTCCCCTCTTGCTGCTGCTACTACTGCCGTTGCTGCTGCCGCTGCTGCCGCTGCTGCTGCTGCAATTACTGCTGCTGCCGCAGCCGCGCCCCCATCGGCAGCCGGCTCCCTCTACGCCTTCCACCTACGCCTTTCGCCGCCCCCCTTGCATCTCGCCACGGCGACGGTGGCCTCGTCAACGTCCTTCCCTCCGTGCATGTCCGTCTTGGGTCTACAGCGAGCCCAACCCACACAAAGCTTGGTTGTTCTTTTCTTCAGGGGAGGCGGCGGGGGGACAATCGCCCGGCTGGGATAAGCTAGCTGTCAACAAGGTCGCCCCGCTGCCAGACGTACACAAGCTGTGGGATGCAGCTCTGGAAGCCGAGAGACGGGGCGGCGGGCTCATTCTCCATTTATTCAGGCAGACTCTCTGGCTAGGCCCGGGCTTGGTGCGGCTGGCGGCTGAGGAGGGCTTTTCAAAGAGTCGGTGGGGTGTGAGTTCCTCACCATTCCAGGTAACATCTGGACGCGAAACCAAGGTGAGCCAGCACAGCAATCTCAGGACGGGTCTTCCATGTCCCCTCCAACGCATGTACGTTGCAGGGAACGTGGAAGACTCGCCCTGAGGTTGCTGTGCTGGCTCACCTTGATTGTCCCTCCGGATATTGCCCGGAATGGTGAGGAACACACACCCCACCCGACTCTTTCAAAAGACCTCCCCGGGCCTAGCCAGAAAATCCGCCTGAAAAATGGAGATGAGTCCTCCGCCCCTCGCTCGATTTCGTGAGCTACAGTACTTCCAAGGAATGCCCGGCAGCGGAGCTACCTTGGTGACCGTGCCGAATATATTGCGTAAAAAAAGAAACTGAAAAAAGTAAACCTCCCAAAACAGCAACAACACACACCCAACCAGAAGAGCAGGAAAACACTTGGGGGTTGGGACTTGACAGCAGCCGGTCATATGTATGTTCCCGGCACTAGTGTCGGCCAACGGTATCTGGCAGGGGTGGTGCCTTCTTTTGCCGATGTCTCTTCCCGCGGCATTGCAGGCCCACCTTCGGGCTTCTAACTCATATCACGATGCACTCGTTCGGAGGTATTAGCGGCTCGCTTAGCGAACAAAATCCCTGGAAGGCACGCTATGGTAGAACAAGCTATGTGAATATCGGTGGTTGGAAAAGTCGAGGCAGTGGCAAGGGATCAAATGCATTGGTCAGACGGCGGGCAGACGACCAAGCAGCGCCTCCGCCAAAGGGAAACGGCGGGAGGTGGATAGCGCATAAGAGCGCGCGGATCGTGATCCGTTTAGCGATGGTTTCAATGCCGGAAACGCACCTGATAGGAAGTTTGGGTGGGTTAACGTCTTTCTGGTTGGTACGCATGGGCGATTACAATGCCGAGGAGGTGGAACGAAGATTGGGTAGGTTCTTGTGACGGGACAGGAGGCATCATTAAAACAAATCCAATACTTTCTGCGAGTGATCGAAAACGGAGACGGAGGAAACGAAATAATAAACCTGCTGGAATCACAGTGTATAGGCGTAAATAGACCCTCAATAAGCCCAAGTATCCAGCCGGTTTTCATCTCACCACTCACTGTAAAGACTTGAACACATCCCCTTCGACACACGTGTTGCTCCCCTTGGAAAAATCAACATTTTTGTTTTATACGGTCAAAATATAACCATGGAATCACAACCCGAGAGGTTATGCCGCGAGGGACTCTCAGTGATTCTGCTCCACCTCTCGCAATAGGGGCGATCCTCAAATGTGCACATCAACGAATCATTCCTCACCCACCACTGGATGCGCCTGCCGGTTCTTGGGCGATTTGGTGCACTCTTACGAACCTGCATTTTTTGCTCGAAGTTTCAAAAGTGTGCTTCCAGGATTCGATTCTCGTGATAAATTTGGATGTAGACTTACGAGAGCATGTCTGGTGTCTCTCTTTTGTTTTTTTTTCTTCTGGTAGGAATACTGGAGTTTAGAGTCGATATCGGCCGCATCTTGTCCACTTCTGCAGGTCAACTCCGATTGCCAGAGTGCCGATCCCAAACTGTGCACATCGGTGAATCGTTTAACCCCTATGAAGCTATACACGTCCAAGGTTTGGGTCGATTTGGTGCACTCTACGAAACTGTATAATGGGCGTGACAGTGCTTCCTGAGAGCTGAAATGGTTGCCTGCTGCAGAGGGAAAACAACTTCAACCCAGGTGTGATGGTGCAGCATTTCTCCCATTCAGAGCAAAATTAGAGCGTAAAACCAGCTCACGGGTGGAGTTGATAGCATTCTTGAGGTGCCCTTCTACTTTGGTGGCAAGCCATGCCCTCTGTGCGAAGCACGAGGTGATGAAACAAGTGGGTTCAGCAGCCTTCGTGCTGGGGAGGGGCTGCCAACAAAAAACCCCGCTGAAAGCCGAGGCATGATTGTTTGACCGCATAGTTTTTTCGTTTTCCGAGGACTGCAACACGTGTGGGTATTATCTCGAACCCCGTGGTCTTTCTGTGGGTTATGGATACTTTCTAAAAACTGTGGCGCCGCCATCGTGCGATTCCGAAGGAGACTCAATTATAACATAACAACGCTTTCGTGAACCCCCACCGCCGATACTTTGAGGTAGCTCAAGGCCGCCTCTGGCCAAGTTAGCGTGTGCGGTACCGCCCCGGTGATGCTGTTGTTTGTTAAAGGCGGCACAAGACTGGCTCTAGAGCCCCGCATAGACTACACCGCAGGCAATGCATCAAGCTCAATAGAGCGGCGGTTTGCCGACGACGACGGCAGGCTTGTCTTGTGTTGCAGGCTAGATACGGACAAGCCGTTGCTGAGTGGAGGTATTCTTGAGGGTAGAGCTCAGCAGCACACCACCTAGCCGCGCCGCACTTTGCCGTTGTGAAGGCTTGGGGTCGGGAACGAAGGGGTTACCCTTTGTTCCTTGTTCTCTTTATCAGGAAAAATAAGTACTCCGCACACACAAAGACTACCCATTCGAGATACCCACACTCGAACGACATGTGGTGGAGTCTTGTTCTCTCCCTTCCTCTGGACCAAACATGCGACACTCCCGTCCGGCGGTATCACACGCGATGCTCTGCGGACGGGAGCCGTCAACCAACAGCACCCTGCTACAGCACAGAAGTAACGTATTACAATGGCTTCAGGCTAAGATGAAAACTTCTGGACGATCCTGAACAACACAGCCGAATTCGCCATACCAAGCATGTGTACACTATCGTCCTACGTATCATATATCATATGTACCCATGGAGCGACACATGCCGGTTCGGCCCCAGGGGTACTAGGTACTAGTCGGCATATCTCAGATCGATATCGTGGGCTGGGAAAACAAGTCAAACGTGTAGTAGAACCCGACACACAACAAAAAATACGTTCCCACTCGCCTCTTGCATCTCGCTCCCGTCTGCCGCGGACGGCGGTGCTGCCGGAGGCTTTGGCGATGAACTGACGGACATGCCAGCAGCCGCATCTTCTTGTTGCCCTGCTGCCGCTGCTGCTGCTGCGCCGCCGCCGCCGCCGCCGTCGCCAGCGACGGTGGCGGCAGGGGCGGCAGGCGACGATGCCGCCGCCGTCACCGCGGTCAACTCGTACGTATCATCAGCCCAGTTTCCCGACGGTTGTGACAAGGAAGCCATCGCAGCACACGAGGCACGACACGAAGCAAAGTGATCTGTGCGATGGATGGGCTATGTAGAAAGCCGGAGGGGGTCCGTAGAATCAAAGTGCCTCTGTGGTGGCTTCCCAACGACAACGTCCTGTGGTGGCACACCTTTTGCTTTGAGACTTGAGACAGGAGTGAGAGGAAAGAGCCGCCATAGTAGTAGGCGGCCGTGGTTCGTACGACGGCATGGTGGCCTCTGCTCGCGGCTTTGTGTTCGTGGCCGTGCTCTTTGTGTCTTCCCTCTTGTACTCGGTGACCCTGTTGACGCCGGCGCTGCTGCTGCTGATCCCGATCTCGCCGCCTGGGGTGTACTTATTCTTCCGGAGAGCGTATAGGCGATGGTCCGGCTTCGTCGGTTACCTCTTTTTCGCAATGGCGGCATTCTTGTTGGAGAATTTGTGCGGCATCAAGGTGCGTACGTGCGCAAACAAGCAACAAACCAGCGCAGTTGTTCTTGAAGCTCAATGTTGTCCGCTTTGGCTAAGAAAGGTTCAAGTGCCGGTTGGGGTTGCGCGCAGCGCGTAGCGCGACACGTGTGGCATTTCAAACGTTGTGTATCGCATACAACGCACTGCGTTTTGCTTTCCCTCAACACCAGTCACCTTGTTTACGTGTGAATTAATTTGCATGTGCGGGCGACAGACCTAAAGAACGTTCCGGCTTCATCACGGCGTCCTGCCATGTGCCGCAGCACTTAACAGCAGTGTACCGTTCAAAAATGCGGTCAAATCCCTGACTTTTGAGAAGCAGAACATGTACAATAGATGCGGACGACAAGGTTTCCTCTGCTGTCACATCTGATGAATGCATACGTACATACGCATGAGGGTGTATGCATACGGCAATTCTTGCGCAATTAGCTTGGTATGTGCTACAGCAGTAGCGCGAGAGAAAGAAGGAAAATTACGTCAACCAATCATTTTGATCACCGCGGTGTGTTTTTGGTCTGAGTTCTAACTCGCCAGGCCGCGGTGATGGTGATAGTGATGATGATGCTGAGCCTGATTCAAACTCAACCTACATCCAATTTCTGCGTGTGTGCACCCCTTTCTACTCATACGGAAACTGACTGGTGTTGTAATCGATAGTGGCCTAGGACCACCCCGCTGCCCAGCTTCTCCAGACGATCACAGCAGTAGATTGTCCCGGGTACACATCGAACGGGTGCATCGAGTATGGCCGCGGATTGCATGCTGCTCTTTCTTCGAGTGTATGTGTACTTCCTAATCAAAGAGCACGCTTGTCACGGTACCACTGCTGCTGCTGCTGCTGTAGATTACAAGGAGGAAATAAATCATGACACAGCAAATCTCCGCCTGGTATATTGCCCTTACTCAGGTGAAAATCACAGGAGACCGCTTGGAGTTTGGAGAAGCCGCTTTGATCATCTGTAACCACCGTACGAGGGTGGACTGGATGTTCTTGTGGTGCTTGTGCCTGCGACAAGGACAGCTGTCGAGCCTGAAGATCGTCTTGAAGGAATCGCTCAAGGGAATTCCAGGGTTCGGTTGGGCCACCCAGGCGAGCGAAACCCTCCCGGTAGTTCACGCAGGTTTTCTGAGTATGCAAACATGTTGAATATCGTACTTTGTATGGAATTGGCTAAGTGAGGGTTACGGTCTGCGTGGTCCCTGCCTGATCTTTCCTCCGTAGACACCTACTTTTCTTTTCGTGTAGGCGGTCCGAAAACGTCAGGCGTTTTGCCATTTGTTCGTCGTTTTTCTCTGGTGCTTTCGTTTTGCCAGTGGATCCCGCTTTGCTGTCGTTCGTCTTTTCTCTCTGTGGTAGTATTGTTTGCCCAGTTGTTCCCAGGCACTCGACGCTAATCCTTGACCGAGTAGGACGCATACCACACTACAATGGCAGCTGCGAGATTCTCGAGGATGTGGGTTGAGTTGAAGGTTTCAAGCAACGAACTCTTGCTTGCCGCGCAGAGAGGTGGCGAAGCTTTGCTGTTATTGCTGTTGCTCTCTCCTTGTTGCTTACAGCCGAATATTTGCTCGTCCGGAAACGGCCCTATGTGTCGCGGCATCATATCAGATGCTGCTCTTCGTGTTCCTGAAGAGAGACAAGACTAAGGACTTGCAGCGGGTGAGGGAGATCAGCGACTACCTGGTGGGCCTCGACATGCCCACGACGCTGCTCCTCTTCCCGGAGGGCACAGACTTAAGCCCGAACAACCACCTCAAGAGCCTCGCCTTCGCCAAGAAGGAAGGGCTCGCCGAGTACCAGTACGTGCTGCACCCGAAGGTTCGATGGCTTCGGTGTTACACATGCAGTATTTTATTTTTATATGTAGATCCATCTATATGCATAGAGAAGGGTCTAGAATATATTTACGTCAGAAGTGTTGGTATAGCAACCACGTCTGTTTCTACGACTCCCCAAGCAGTACACGGCGATATCTGTTTTTGTCGCTCGCGCTTCAGACCAGAGGATCGACAAGGATGCGGGGCATCTCGAAGGCGGGGTGTTTTTTTCTGCTACCCCCCCGCCTGCGATAGCGAGCTCTTAGCTGCCTGACCGGGAGAGAATCGAGAGTTGCGTACCAATGGACTTTTGGTTCTAGTTAGAGTTGTCATGAAGGGTTGGTTCTAGTTAGATTGACTGCAGCACGGGCAGGCGAGTACTGGTCGCTCTTGGGATGATCCTTCGGGATGGGCGTGGGTAACGTGGAGCCCCGGTCCCCTTCTGCACCCCGAACTAATTTGCTGTCCGTAGGAAGAGCCACTACTGCTGCTGTTGTTTATGTCGGTGGTGGTTGCCGACACGCCTGATTTCGTGCTCGAGCGGATGTTTTGGGGTCTCACGGCTCTGCCTCCCGTTGCCACCGAGCTGACGTCACATACGTCACCACCATGCACCAAAAATGTCAAGTACCTCGAAGCCAGTTATTGATGAAGCCATGCGGTGCTCGACACATTTTTTTGTTGTGTTTTCTAGAAGTATGATTTTACATTTGTTGCTTGTGTGTGCTCTCGGCAATGCAGGTCAGGGGATTCTCGGAGTGCATGCAGGCGCTACGGCCAGGCCTCGATGCCGTCCACGACGTCACGATTGCGTACCACAACTACAAGGACGGCGGTCCCCCGTCAGAAAACACGATGCTTGCAGGTAAGAACGCATCATGTGTTTATAACGTAGTTCATTGGGGTAGGGGGCCTCTGGGAGGGGATCCCTTCTGTGCGACCACGGGTTAAAGACATCCCTTTCGACCGAGGTTATATCTCGAACGGGCTGTCTTTCTGTGAGGTTATATTTACTTTCTAAAAAACGGCACGAATCCTGCGAGCACTGATTTAAAGTGAAGTCGAAACAGCAATATATTATTATTGTTCGTGGCATTTGACAGCAGTGCGTGTAAGGTGGACGCCAGGTTGGTTCCCTGTTTTTCGAGAACCTAGAAACCATGGAATATTATTTTGTTTGTTGCACTTATTCTACTTCTACAAGAGTCCAACGGTGTGCTTCGGCAGTTGCGTTGGTCGTTTGATGTTTTCCACGACGTGAGCGGTTATTCTCCGCGGCTCCTTCTTCTTGCCGTGACTTGCGATCTCGGCTCTTCCTACATGCACGTAAAGAATACTTGGGCTCTCTTTTCGGTGCGATCGCGTTGACAGGGTGTTTCCCTCCGGAGGTCCACATGCACGTGACGCGTTTCGCTGTTGCAGACCTGCCAACAGATGATGATGGCCTTCAACAGGTATGATTGATCCTCTGTACTTGTACACACTTTCATTTGTGTTTCCTATCATACTGAACGGTCGTACACTGCCGATGTGACGGGATTCCGATTATTGCACCCACGCGGTGGAGTTGGTTGTTCGACGCGTGCACTACAAGTAACAATATGTTCGTATTGCGCTTGGAATGTAAGCACAGCTGGTGTGTCTTGAATCCAGCCCTGTCGGGAAGGCACTGCAGGCGGGGGCTGACTCGTCTTTCCTTTCCATGGGGTATCTCACTCTCTGCCCGTCGTCCCCTCTGTTGTGCGAAAAGTGGTGCCGAGAGGCTTTCACCGAGAAGGAAGAGCGACTAAGAGAGTTCCACCAGGGCCCGCGATCGTTCGACCAAGCCGGCCGGCTCGACGAGCACGGCGACGACGACGAAGCTTCGAGGAGCGGGTTGCTGGCCCTGGTGTTCTTCGTTGCCTTTTTCCTCCTTGTGGCCTTGTACGGCGGCAAGGTTTTCTACGCGGGAGCGGCGTCGGCGTGCTGCCTGTGCACCCTCGTCACCTCGCTCGGCGGTTTTGACACCCTGGAGCTGCGGTGGTCGAGGTTCTCCTTCGGGACGTCATCGGGGGAGTTGAAGCAAGACTGATCGGGAGTTTCATCATGTGTCCCCGCGATAACAAAATGTGGTGCAAAATTTTGTTGTGTGCTGCTTGGTTGTTTCGTAGGCCTGAAATTGGTTGCAATATAGATCCGGGCAAGAGTATGTACAGAAAAATATGACGTAAGGTATACATGGGATGAGAAAATCACTTCGTCCCCAGGCCTGCGTTTTGAATTGTTGTAGATCCGAGCAATGGTATGTACAGAACAAATGGCATACGTACACGGGATGAGTACATGGGAAGTCATTCGTTCCGGCGGCTATTTGTATAGTCCTCCAGAAATTCATGAGCATGTCCACCATCACGAGACTCGATGACTTGTCCGCATCCATCCTCGACATCTGTGTGTGTGTGTGTGTCTAGGGCTGGGATTAGGGTTAGGGCCAAGGTTAAAGATAACCTTTCAAACACAACAAACAAACGATGGTATGCATACGGCTTGGGTCCCTCTAGACAAGGCCTTCCCAAAACCGCCGCCCTCCCCCCCCCCACAAAAACTGAAGTTCTGTGAAGACGCTCAACCAGCCGGCGAGCCCTCCGCAGCCCTCACCCGTCAAACAACTACTACCGAGTTTCTCACACCTCGGCAAACTGCATGCCTGCCCACGGGGCGGCTGGCTCGCTTCGTTCCCCAACCCCCGTGGACAACAGGCCAGGGGCATGTATTTACCGTCTTTGCCTGCTCGGAACGGGCATTGCTGAAAATTGTAGATGCGATCCGACCAACAGAGCGTGCAAATAGCACAAAGGGTCTGCGATTCTTGTCTCCATTGATTTGACAAAGGGCCTGTACGCAAAAAAAAGAGGCATATGTTGGGGTTGTTGATCGCCTCGTGCGTGGGAGCGATTAGATTGCATGAAAACATCAAAAGTGCATTCTCTAGGTGATGTAGCGTCGAGGATGGCTGCCGAGTACGATTGATTTCGGCCAGCAATCTGAACATCTCGGTGGGTTGCATAGAAACCGACGTTTACGCGTCGGAGGCGAGATGGTTCGTGAAGTGTTCGGACGTCCGAGAGTCTTTGGTGGACGAGCACGACGATGATGATTGTCTTATCGCGGCGGTGTTGACGACCCTACAACTAGACTGATGATGTACAACATTGTTGCGTTGTTCCGGTCGCGGCCGTCGTATTTTTCATTAGTGGGACATTGTTTTTCCTTGCAGAGTGTCTTCAACACCAAAGACCCGCGCGATTCCTCTATGAGGGCGGCGCACCGATGCAACGACGCCGATCTTAGAAATTGTCGTGGCTCACAAGGAATGATTGAGACGTAGCGGTGCGTGGGCGGGCGGCGCTGCCGCCATCGCATCTCTGGTGCGCTTGGGCTGTGCGCGAAAATTCCTTGATTTTCCGATTGCCAGCGACGCGCTTGATGGGGGATTGATCGGTGGGGTATCGACGGCATACGACTCGTAAAGCCTTGGCGCGGTTGGCCGCGGTACAATCTTCTGTAGCTGTGGGTACGCGTCGTGCCGGTGCTGCCAATCTTCAATGTGGGGGCGGGGTGAGGGGGCGGGCTTACAGGCTTTCAGAGTGCCAGCACAGCGCTTATCGGGGAAGTTGGTCGCGGTTGAAACTGCTGTGGTATCAATCGCATCGTGACAGGATTGTAGAGGAAGGTGGGAAGGTTTACATTCAAGAAAAAGAAGGGTTGTCACGCCAGCAGCAGAGGAGAGACTATATGATACGCACTTCATGAACGACGATCAAGAACACATAAACCTTTTCCTGATGCCACCAAACACACAGATCCAAACCCAAACAGTGTCAATCTTTTTTATGCTCTCGCACCTGCCTCGTTTGGTTTCCAGATCCGGCTGTACAGTATTTCCGAGCCGCAGCCATTAAAATCATACAGTCGCCCACACACACTCTCTCTCCCTCCCTCCCTCCCTCTCCCTCCGGTTCCGCGTCAACCAATCCCAACGACAATCTCAACTGCGCCAGAGAGCCAGCGCATTTTTTTGTGTCGCCGCACTCGTGCTCTGCGGAGCCCGTCGCAGACACGTCTGCTTTCCGAGACCAATTTTGTTTACACAGTCAAGGCTTCGGTCCGTTATCTGCCGCAACAACAGATAGAGCGCCAGAGAACCACCATCATCGCGCAGGGACCGCAGTGGGAGAGGTGCTTGATATAATTTCGCGGGGGACGGACCGCCAGCTTTATTTTCCCGCGACGCTCGCACGCTGGGAGGGAGCCAAGAACAGAACTTGGCGTGCGCGGCCTAATTTGTCCGCAACCAACGTTGTGCACACGTGGAGGGTATACCCTCGCCAGACTGCTGGACGCGCGAGGTAAGAGGTTGTCTTGCTAGACTAGCAGCCGCAGGGTGCTGAGATCGAGCTTTTTCGCACGTGAGCCGTTTGGGCGCCAGTATGGGCGAAGGAAATTGTACTTGTCATCTCAGGGCAAGAAAAATAATATACACTTCGAAGTTCAACGTGGTTACGTGGTGCCTCGCTCGTTACTCTGATTTTTCTCGGCGTGCTTGATTTTCCTGCATCGTTACATGTATATACTTCGAGCAGCCAGGAAGAAGAATGCGCGGTACACACGTGTGTGACAGCGATGCCGTGAATTGCACTCCGGCGTGCTTAGATTTGCTCTGAAGCGACCACAATGCACGAGCTCCTAAGGCTTCAGCGTAATAATGTGACGAAGCCGCGCAACCGGAAAAAATTGTGACGCCGAATACCACCGCCCCCCCCCCGATTGCCCTACTGCAATCCCCAACAGCAGAGAGCGTGAGAGAACCACCATCATCGCGCGGGGCTGTGGGAGAGGTGCTTTGTAGATTGGCGGTAGCGGACTATCTCCTTTGTTTCTTCGCCACGCTACACACACCGGGGCCGAACAGAATTTGAAGTGCACTTTGCCTCAATTATCCGCAACCCTGCTCGAGCGGGGAGGGCAGCCGCAGCAGACTTCTAGACGCCCACGGTGAGTCATTTACCTGCCTAGAGTACCGGGACCGAGTTTTTTCGTAGATTTGCCGTTTTATCGCCAGTGTGCCTCCAAAGCCTTGTTTTCAAGCCTACCCTGTGTATTCTCGATTGATTCCCATTGGAAGCATACAAGTATCAGACCGCATCGGAAAATTTCAAGGTTCACACCCACACGTACCTTAAGTGGCAAACTCATTTCCAGCGCTGCCGTGTGAACTTCTTGTGTGCAGCCTTACCACGTACTTATGGAGTACACTTATTTGAGTGTTGTATTAGCTTCAGGAGACGAGGCAACGCCCGTATGTACCAGGCGTGGTGTATCATCACGGGCCCCCCCTTCTACTAGTAGCCTCTACCATTTGTACGGCGAACGCGACTTCTGGGCGCGAGAACGTCGACAGTGCCGATGGCCTCCCTCACCGGCCACTCCCCTCCACTCTCGTCATCTCGCTTCGGTCCTACAGTAGGTCGGCACCAGAGGAAGCTGGGATGGGGGGGGGTACTCATAGTCGTACAGGCCGTAGTCGTTAGACCATTGACCTCGCATCCCTGCAAAGCCGGGACGGAGCACGCCGGGTTCTCACCGGACCAGGCTCTCACATGACCAAGCGCGAAACACCGTGAGGTATTCGGCGAGTCGCATGAAGGGTGCGCTGCATCCTGCTAAGGGTGTTGGGCATCTTGTGCTTACTTCCTTGCGTACGGATAACAGCTTCGTATGACTTCATTTATTTTCTGGTGCTTTCACTTCCAGAGACAGTTGTAAGCACTGTGTAACTGCCTGGAGGGTGCTTGACCAATTTAATACAAAGGGTGCGATCATCCTCTTTGCGCGGAGTGAGGATCCTCAACCCCGCGCAACATAACCTACCCGACCACCATTATGGTTGCCACAAAAAACAAAAAACAGAGGCAAAAATAAAGTCCGGGAACCTGGTTGCCGAACTCACGAAGTGATCGGCTTGTTTAACAACGTCGTTACCAAGCGACGAAAGTAACCCCGATGGCAACACCGGGGGGGGGGGGGGGGAGCGGGGATGGGGGGGTGTACTCATAGTCGTACATGCCGTAGTCGTTAGACCATTGACCTCGCATCCCTACAAAGCCGGGACGGAGCACGCCGGGTTCTCACCGGACCAGGCTCTCACATGACCAAGCGGGAAGCGCCGTGAGATGAAGGGTGCGCTGCGTCCTGCTAAGGGTGTTCGGTATCTTGTGCTTGCTTCCTTGCGTACGGATGACAGCTGCGTATAGGAAGGTTTGTTCGTCGAGCAGATAGAATAGACTGGTGTTTATTTTGTAACAGTCGAATTAGAATTTGGCTTCATTTTATTGTAGTCTTATAGCTGGGGGTGTCATTCCGTGATCGAGTCCACGCAGGGGCTGTAGCAAAGTCGGGTAACGTGTGAGAGCTACAGAGCGCGTGAAACAACAGAAGGACAGCAGCAGCCGCCTAATGCAGTAGCGGCGGCAGTGTAGAAAATCCCGCCCTCACATCCCTTTTCTTTCGAAGGTGGGGGCATAAGTTCGGGAATATTCGGTATCTAGTCGGGTGTTGTAGAATGGTGTGTACCATTTGAGGACTTGGTCAGTTTTGGGACTCCTGCGGTTGCAGTCGTAGTCCCCCGGCTAGTATTTGTGGGGAGAGAGATGGATTTGTAAGAGTTGACGCCGGCCTTCGCAGCTAACGCGGCCGGAGAGACGATGAGCGTTTCGTGCGTCTCTCTCCCCAACACGTAGCCTAGAAACCGAAGAAATAATGAAGCAATTCGAAAGAAAACAAAATATAGACTTAGTTTATTTTCTGGTACTTTCACTTCCAGAGACGGTTGTAAGCACGTGTAACTGCCTCGAGGGTGCTTGACAAATTTAATTGAAGACAACGTGGTGCAATCATCCCATTTGCGCGGAGTGAGGGTTCTCGACCCCGCACAACATAATCTACTCGACCACCATGGGGGGGGTTGATTGTACATCAAAGCGATTCACCATGCTGTCAATGTACGCGGTTCGGGAGATTTTAAGAGCCCCAACCTCTACGTCTCTCTCAACGGCACACCCGCCAAACCACACGCACTCTCCAAGGTCGTTGGTGGGGAATGTCTTGTTCAGAGAAGCGAGCAACTCCATGCAATCCTCGTCAGACCCAGCCACCAAAATGTCATCCACGTAGATCACGATGATCATCACCACGACTTCATCATCCCATCTTGCGGGTTCGCCTTGCACTGCTCGAACCCGTTCTCGACTAGCGTATCAGCAGCGTGGTACCCCCACTGCCTACCGCTCTGCTTCAAACCGTAAATGGCACGCTCAGCCCTCACGATTTTGTGCGATTTTTCCCCGCACCCAGCGGGGAGCCTCATGTACTGCTAACCCGGAGCCTTTCTCATTGGCTACCGCAAGCATCAGTTTAGTGGATGCGGATGATGTGCCAAGGGGAAGACAAATGGAAATAGTCCACGTTCGGGATTTGCGAAAAAACCCTACAGCAACCTGACGCGTTTCGAAGTTTTCAATCTTCCCTTCCTTGTTTTTCTTCCAACTGGAACACCACTTCGAGCTCACAGGCCTACGCCCCGCTGGCGTGCCATCTACAAACGAAAACGTTCCCGTGCCCAAGTGCCCATCAAACTCTTCCCTCATAGCCTGTTCACACCCCTCTCTGTACACAGACTTGACAACGCCGGCTTCGGTCATGGGGGGGTGGTTCTACGTCGCTCGGACGCTTGCCTATGGGGGATTGTGTGCTCAGCTCGAGTGACGCCAGAACTGTCGCGAAAGGCGTCTGGGGAGTTGAGCATTAGGTCCTCTGCTCCCAGCAGGAAGTCTTCCGCCTCTTGGCGCGCGATGTTGGCCTCCTCCGTGCACTCGCACAGCAACTCTCGCACCACCTTCTCCTCCAGCCCTTCCGCCACGTGAAGTACCGACGCGAGCATCCAGCGGGTGAACTCCTCCGTGCTGTTCGTGGGCAAGATCACCACCGAGGCGAGCAGGGCTTCGGTACTTGCCGGCGACGGCGGCGACTCGTACCTCGGTTTTCGGCGAGGTTTCTCCCTGGTGCGGCGGCTGGTGAGTTCCGCCGGCTTGTCGAAGTGGGCGAGCGTCCGGGCCTCTGGCCACGGAGCGCCTGGAGATCTGTCTCGCTGTCGCTGCTGTTGCTGTTGCTGCTGCCGCTGTCGCTGCCGCTGTCGCTGCCGCTGTCGCTGACGCTGACACTGACGCTGTCGCCGCCGCTACCGCGGCTGCTGCTGCTGCGGCGGCGGTCGTCCTCGCCGCCGCCCACATCGGCCATGCCGGCATACGTGGTAGAGGGGGTGACGCTCGCGCCCTACCTGCTCGAGGGGGCGCCATCGCCTGCGTCGCCCGCGCCCGACTCCTGGGGCGCGGCTGGCAGCGCACCGACGCCGCCGGCGTATCGCACGCCGGCGGCCCCGCGGGCCCCGGGGCTGGCATCATGTCAAGGTTGAAACCTGGTCCTCCATCCTCAGGTTCTCCCTCCGCCCTCCGTCCACCGTGGCATGACGCGCCCTCCCCGCCCTCGTGCTCCCCAGTTGTGAGCTCCTCTTCCTCCTCTGCAATGGGAGGCAGCGGTGCTCGGGTCGACGTCTTGTTGCGATGGGCTTGAAAGCCCCTCGCCGTCGAGCACTCCAGGCACTCCTGGAGTTCGCCCACCAGCGTTGTCCCTTGTTGCCTCGCCGTGTTCTTTCAGCAGCGCCTCTTGGGAGTGGCCGTGCGCGCGGTGGACAGCATTGATGTAAACAGGGGTGCTGGTCGCTTTCGCGTTGCCAGGATCAATGGCGGCACAGGCATGTTCCCTACCCGGTGTGTGCGGTAACCAGTCTAGACAAACAGGTCAACCCATGGAGGGAGTACACCCACTCCCCTCCCCCGACAAACGCTTCCAACTATTGCTCGTTTGCGACCAAGTGGCCCTTTGTCTGCTTGAGAAGAGCCGTGAGAGACACAAGGTTGAAGTTGCGTTCGGGGACGCGTGTGACCCGTTTTAGCAATAGGTCTGCGGCCCCGTCGCGAAAACCAATGGTCACCCTCACGTCGCCGTACCCTACGATGGAGAAGAGTTTCTTTCCAGCGGCGACGTTCAAACGTTTATCACACCTGGTAATAATCGAATGCCTCAACATTCAGGAACATGTGGGTGGTTGCGCCGGTGTCGGCCACAAACCTTTGCCGCCTGGCCTACTCTACACCCCTTGACAACGTTATTGGTCCACTCGCCTGTGACTTCACGGACCACCACCTCCTCCTCTCCCACGTCCAGCACGGCGGCGTCCACGCTCAGCAGTTCCACCGCGGGCACCGCCTCCTCGGACCCGCACTTGCTTTTGTCGTGTCGAAGCCCCTGCACTTCTCGCATCGCACGGGCTCGCTCTCGGTGTAGGCAGCCATCTGGTGACCCTTCCTTCCGCACCGGAAGCAGCGACAGCGCATGCTGCCCGCACCGCTGTCACCGCCTCCGCCGCTGCTGCCATCGCCACCGCCCCCACCACTGCTGCTGCCACCTCCAGCCTTTGCGCCACTTCCTTTCCCCTTCTGGTTGCCGCCGCCGCCGCCGCCGCCGCCGCTACCCTCTCGGCGGCCGCTGTTGCCGCAGCCCGGCGCTCCTCCCCCGCTGCTACCGTCGCTCGCGAGGAAAGTATGCTCCGCCTTCAGCTGACCCTTCGAGGCCTTCCTCCCCTCCGGGAGGCTGGCGTGCACGGTGCTGACGATCCTGACGATCTCGGCCCTATCCAGCGCCGTCTCCAACAGGAACTTCGCTTGTTGGTACTCTGGTGGGGGGAAAACAATGAAGTGGGCGAATAAGAGGGATTGTTCAGAGTTGAACCCCTTTTCGCGTAGGCGGGCATACAGTAGCTCGAGTCTGTAGAGGTGCTCGACGGGGTTGCTGTTGTGCGTGAGGATCGCAAAGCCGGACATCTTCCTCATCAAGTGACTCTGTGTCGTAGACCTTGTCTAGTTCCGTGAGGACCTCCTTCGCCGACATACAAGTACTGATGATCGCCTTGTCAATTACTGATGATCGCTTTGTCAGCTTCTTTTACCACAGCAGTAGTGATAAACGGAACGCCTGAAGCCCTCGTTGGACCTCGGCCCTCGTGTACCTCAGGAGTCGGCAAGTTTGGTTCGCCCACGGAACCATGCCTCTCTGTATCTCCAATAAGCTATCCGTCCAAGTCGATGATCTTTGCGGCTTGGGTGAATGATTTTCTTCACGAATCAAATCCGTGGCTGCGACTCTTTTTGTCTGGAAGCGGGGCATTTACGGTCGCTCTTTTTTTATGGCTAACGCTGAAGCCGTTGAGGTATTCCCCATTGCCTCGAATCACGGGTATCTCACCTGGGGGGGTTAACCCCCTCGCTTCCCCGCTGTCCGGTCCTACGCCCGGCCCCACTCTGGCTGGTACCTCAGGATTCGCTCCCGATCTGCTGGTCCAGCCGCTCTCCAGCAGCTGACGCGGTCCTTGTCCGCTCGTCGCTGAAAAAGGGCCTGCTCCCGCTCTGCGGAAGCAGCGTCTCTCGTTGGCCCTCTGGGGCGGTAGTACCACCGCCCCTACTGGCGTCGTCCGCCAATATGTCGCCAGGCTCCTTCTTCTTCATCGATGCACTCATCATGGACACCAAGTGCGAGACTTGATCATCAAGTTTCGCAAGCCTCTGTTTTCCGGCGGGCGGGTGCAAGAGCCGGGTTTCTTCCCCCGCTCCTGCAGCGCCGTCGACACTCATCCTCGATGCGGCTTCCCTCGAGGGACAAAAACTCTATAGAGTGCTTGCAGCCTTACCGCGTACTTACCGAGTAGACTTGTTTGAGTGTTGTATTAACTTCATGAGACGAGGCAACGTCTGCACCAGGGCGTGGCGTAAGAGGGAGTGGCTGCATGCAGCACACCAAGCACGAATGGCCCTCGTTTACCAGGTATCATCACGCCCCCCCGTACTACTGGTAGCCTCTACCATCTTACAATCTGTGTATCACAAAAACGTGTGAGCACCCATGTCCGACCATATCCGTAGACCCACAAACACTTCTCTCCATCAACATAACTCTGTGCCGAATTGAAACAATGCCTCCCTCCCTGTGCATACTACAATTCCAGGTACGTTTCGATCATGGCTACGGAAGTGATTGAGGTTACGACAAGCATTCTCAAGATCGGTGAGGATATTCCATTTGTGGGTGGTCTCTGCACAGCGGTGCTCAATGCCAAGGATATGGTAGACAAGGCCAGTGACAACCAAGCCAAGCTGGAGAAGCTTTGCGAGAGGTGCTGCGGGATCACGGTGCAAGTGGTCGAGAAGCTCAAGGGTCCGACGCCCCTGATGGTCAACGTCTCTCCCCTCGAAGATTGTGTCAAAGAGCTCGAGGAAGTGGCCGAACGCTACGGCAAAAAAAGTTGCTGCACCCGGCTAACGCATTTCCAAAAAGACGACGAAGACATCCGAGATCTGGAAAAGAGAATCAGCACCGCAATTGACGATCTTACAGCCGCAGGGGTCGTGGAAGTGGGGAACCTCATGCAGCAGCAAGTAGGGGAGATTTTGGTGAGATTGCCTACTCTTTTTGGAGTCCGATCGCTGGTGGAAAACAGTGTCGATATGCGGGACCATGACCCCTCAAAGCTAGTTTTTGATCCCTGCGCGTTTGTTTCTGTGTTTAACCGCAAGGTCGGAGTTGGACCTCAGCGAAACCTCTTATGCTACATCACGACAAAGCTGTAGACAAAACATTCTTTCTCCGTCTCACCCTGCCCGTTCTTGTATAGGCTCGCCTGCAACCACGACCCAAGCTAGCACCTGTGCCGCCGGGCGTACCGATGGGCCAGTCATGGCACACCATGCGCGATGGGGTGGTGGACAGAGTGTACGATATCCTCGGTGGGGATGGAGGGCCAGCAGTGGCGGCACTAGGGGGGCGGAGCGGCGCGGGCAAAACCACAGCCGCCGCCGCCATGGTGGGAGAACGGCAGGGCCCGATCCACCCCCTTGCTCGAGAGAATGAGGAACAGGCAGGTACGCGCCTGGATCGCCTAAGGGCGCGCTTTTCTGACGGTGTGGTGTGGCTGCGGGTGGGCAAGGGGGCAGGGGTCGCAGACCGCTTACCACTTCTGATGCGCAAGTTGGCCAAGGCGCTCCACGAGGAAGTGCTGAAATCTTATGTCGATGGTCCAGGTATTGGCGAGGACGGCGAGAGCTACGTGAAGAAAATTGTGGAGCAGGAGTCGCTGAAGTGCCGTGTGGTGGCCGACGATGTGTGGGAGCCGCCAGTGGTCGAGAAGTTGAGGGAGACGGGCATGTGGATTCTCCTGACCGCCCGAAACCCCTCCATGGTCGAGCCCAACGAGAGGGTGTTCGTCGACAGGCTGGAAAAGATGGAGGCGCAGAATGTGCTACGAGGCGCGGCTAGGCTGCCGCCCGGCCAAAGCTTGTGTGATGTCGCGATGAAAGTATTGGAGGTATGTGGCTATGTGGCGATGGACATCGCCTTCGTGGGGAGCTGGAGCTCTGTGCGTACCGTAGACAACTGCGCACCCAAGAGCAGCAGGGCGTGGGCGGGTGTTGTGGCAGAAATCACGGCCCAGATGGATGACGTAAGGGGTCATGCGCAATTTTGAAATGCTGACGCGGTGAACGACCTCGACATCAACAGGCTCGCGGTTCTTCGTACCCGCTTCAAGTACCTCGGAAGGGAAGACACGCTGGCGCAGGAGCTGTATGCAATGCTCGCGGTGTTCCCCAATGGCCATTCCTTCCAAGAGTCGGACGCAGCTGTGCTTCTGGACGACGAAGAGGCCGCAGCGGGACCGATATCGATCTTGGAGAGGGGGGGGTGTTCTTCGAGCAGACATGTCTGGGCGGTACCGCCTGCACGATGCCCACGCGGACTTCGCGAGGGGTAAGCTCAAGGGTTGGGGAGAAGTTCGCAACCCGGCCGTTCAAAGGTGGACTTCCCACGTCTCTCTTTTGGACCTTGCGGTCAGCGTCGACGCGTACGCGCTACTAGCTATCTGGCGGGCTTTGCAAAAGGTGGGGGGCGAGGGGTGGTGGGCCTCTCGGCCATATGACGATCAGCTGGTGAGCATGGACTCAACAGATCGTTCGAACGTTGTTGCTGTTCATGTTGTTTGCGAGCTATACGAGCTCGACGCAAAGTTCGTCGAACAAGAATCGTTGTTGAGGAAGGTGTTAGATCGGTGTAACAATCACGGGGAGTGCCACCCTGAGGTGCAGATTGTAGTCCTCTTGTACATCAGGAGCAGTCTTGGAGCACAGGGGCGCTACAGGGAGGGTGGTGATGTTGGTCGCCAACTGGGTGAAATGGCCCGCCCCGGTATGCAGCTTCCGCTTCCCGACGAAGGTGCTGGCGTCGTGCAAATATCTACGACCTTTCTCGTTTACGGACTCTGTGCGCAAGCGGCCGGATGCCGCAAGGATGCCGAGGAGTGGTTCCGAAAGGCACTGAGGGCTCAGGAGACCGGTGGTTTTGCAGGAACAATATCAAATGAGCTGGGCGTT